CACAGGTGCTTTTAATCAGTTTCTTAGTGCCTATAGATGTCTGTGTAAATGTTATTTTTCTAACCTGCTGTGTCGCATGTGACAACATGTAGTATACAGCTAGTGCTGTCAGGTGGTTTTCTGGAAGAACCCGGATAAGCCCTATTGGCAAAACTGACCTAGTTTTTAGGTCAGCACCTTTTAAAGAAGTTTGTTTTTGTGAGACTTCTCATCTTTGTCACCAGAGTAAATTTCAAATTAAGCTGGAAACTGGGTCGCACCCAATGGTTACTGAAAGGTGAGAGGTGGCAGAGAGCAGGGTCAGAGAGGAAATCAAGTTAGCAGTGTTATTTTTCTCAGACAGGATTCATGCTCAGTAAATCAAACCCCCTTAGTGCATCAAGCTGCAATCATAGGGCCCAGCTGCAGAAAAAATTACACAATATTAACATAGTGAGGATTCATTAGAAATGCTTGAAAAAAAGTTTAATGTAAATTCCTATTTGCGGTTGTAAAATATTATTGTTCGTTATGGTACTCCTCTCTCAAACCTGGAAAGGAAATGGACCTGATGGTGGTATTATGCATAGACAGATTTCCATACACTTGACAGGCTATTATTTTTAGCCCACTTTTGTCTAAATAGATTTTACCTTAGTAAAGCCACATTACACAAAGGAGCTTCACATTTTAGATTTCCTAGTATTTTATCAGCACATCTTGAATACTTTGCTATTTCAGGTCACAGCTTTTTGATGGCAATATCATTTTGTTAAAATACAGTTGTTATGGTAGCAATTACATTTTTCCTTGTGAGAATGAATGGCTGAAAACGCAACACACTGCATTCACTTTGATTGGTTTAATTTTTATAGAGTTTTATAGCTGCATCTGTGACTGTATTGATATTCATCCTCTGAACATTACTCAATAGATGAATAGTACAGCACCTAATGGTATACATTGTTAATGTTTTTTTATATTTAGTGACTGCTTTTATCATTTTAAATATAGTAAGTATAGAGAGCTTTTTTTTGTTTTGTTTTGTTTGTCTGTCTAAGCTTATTAGTTTAATACATGGTTGCTGTGCAAGGACTTTATATGCAAGCTGTTAACATAGCACATGTCTGCCACCTGATGACCAAAAAATATACTACAAGTTCATTGTAAAACTCATTAGATTTGCAGCTTTATCTGTCAAATGGATTGTTGGGTAGAGCTGAAATTAAACTTTCTCATTCATTGAGGGACACAGGAAGTCTTTAACCTTCGGATTATACTGCCACCTACAGAAGGATTGGAAACTGGCAAAGGAAAAAAAACTGTATGGCAGCCCAGCATAGTCCATCCTACAACCAGCATACCTTTTGTAGTGTCCTAGGAGGAAGTACGTCTTTCCTTCAGCTTTGCTGTGTAAACCACCAACTTTTTTTTTTTTTCTTCCGCTTATAATCAAGACACTTTTATCAAAACATTGCTGCTGGAACTTTGTCTCTTTGATTGCAGTTATCTCTCACGTCCTTTCTCAGCCTAGTTCTTGGAGTACAGTGTGTGGATCCCACTGAAGTAGACATTGTGGATATAGCCTGGAAGTAACCTTCAGACACTGGGATGCTTTCCAGACTCCATTCTGGTAAAAGTTTGCTATGGAGCACCTTCCCTGTCTCTGAAGATTTAGTGAGTGGGACACTGAGCACTTAGATTTGAACTCTCCGATTTTGCATGAGTCCATCCTAGGCCTGATAGCTAGCCTCTTTTCCATTTGCCCAGTTTCACTTCAGATCTCTGCAACAAAACATTCTGTAGTTGTCAAACAAATAGATCTGATCTCTAGACAGGCTGATCTTCAACTGTCACCAGGGGCCAGGTTGTTCCCGACTTGGTGCCTCAGGAATCCAGCTCTGCAGTAGTGGAAGTATTTCCTTAACATCTTCTGGAGGAAACTCTGGGCAGATGATGGCCTTTTAGGCTTGGGAAGAGTCTAGGTACCCTGTCCATTTCGGGGACTTGATTGTTGGAGTCCTTTTCATTTCCTGAAAAACATCCAGGGACTTTGGTAGATTTGATTGTATCAGAAGCGTTGGACTATACTACTAAGAAGACCATTCAATATGGATTTGGTCAGGTAACGCCACAGCAGTTGCATACATCAGTTACCAGGGAAAAAACAGAAATCTTGCTGCAGCATGAAAGGTAGATTGGAACCTGTCCTGGCCAGAACTTCAGATCCCAGCCTTAAGCCATGTACATTCCAGGCGTAAGACAATTAGCAGGCAGACTTCCTCAGCCAGCAGTGTCTGCCCCTAGAGGAGGGGTCCCTATTCTGGCAGGTGGTCTCTCACTCTTGAACACCTTTGTACCGGGATCTCCCCTGTAGCTCCTCTAGTCCATTACCCTGTGTCTCCATAGGGTCTGAATCTGGTTCTGCTCTACACTTCAGAAAATGCTGTTTGAACCCATTAGAGGCATTCCTCTCTATTCTTATCCACAAATTAATTTTGCTTGTCGCCATTACCTCTGCATGTCAAGTGCCTGAACTGGTGGCCCCAAGGAACATTTTATTACTTTGCATAGGGACAAGGTGGTGTTGAGGTTCATGTTGTCTTTTGTGCCTTAGGTGGTTTCTGCCTTTTCATTTCAAATAGGACGTTGTTCTTCTTTCCCTCTACCTGGGTTCAGTTCACCAAAAGAAAATTTCCCTCCGTTGTCTGGTGGTGGGTTAGGCTGTTGGACTATCTCCTCTATAAGCCTCTGATTCTTTCAGGAAGACTGACTGATTTTCTTTTTGTCATCCTGAATGGACCCCGTAAGGTTGCACCAGCTTCTTGTTCCATCATGCCTAGGTGGCTGAGGTAGACCATCATCCAAGCTTATGGTCTCAAGGATCGGATTCCACTTTCCAACCGTTCCTATCAAGACACTCTCCTCTAGAGTGCTTCTTTGGGTATTAAGCAATTTTTCCCAGATTTGCTAGGCTACCTCCTGGTTTTCTGTTCTCACATTCTGTAAGTTTTACCACGTGTGTGTTTCATACTCATCTGATGCCAGCTTTGTGGTAAGGTCCTTCAGGTGGCTCTTTGAGCTGCAGACAAATCCCTGGATTTTTAGTTTTTGACCCTCTAAGCAATTTGCTGCGTTACCCACCCCTTAGTTGGACTGCTTTTTGACATCCCGAAGGTTGAAGACTTCCTTTGTCCAATAATGTAAGAAAGAAAACCAGACTTATGTAGTCATCTTAAAAATCCACCAATTGTAGTCTTGAGGGAGGAGGCGAGCAGGCAGATCCCTGGTGATCTAGTGTGATTAGTAATGTCTGCAGACCTTGCTAATCACTTCGTTTTGGACCCGGAGCTCAGTGAAGAGCTCTGCCCGAATGGAAGGGAGAGCCCAGCAGGAGCAGCTGCTCCCACGAGTCAGGTACGCGGTCTCAGACCGCAAGCCTGAAGCAATTTCCACTCGCCAAATGAGAGCAGGCGAATGGAAATTTTGAGCCGTATATGTATGTGTTTTTTTATAAAATCTTAATGTTTTCCTGATTGAAACTTGCTCAGCTATGACATGCTGGGGTAGAGAAGTATCCACACGGTTTTTAACTGTTTCAATTGTTCAATGACAATTACAGCCAGGTGGTTTTCCCGTTAACAGCGTGTGTATTTTAAAGATAACTTAGTATTTCTGAAACTATTTTCTCCTTTTTATTTAAAAAAACCTTTTTCCTTAATAGGTGCCTGGAATACTTATTAAGAAATGATGCAAACCCAGGGATCAGGGATAAACAAGGGTTCAATGCAATTCATTATGCAGCGGCTTATGGACACCGTTTATGTCTAGAACTGGTAAGTGTAAGTATAAAGCATAACGTGTGAGTGGTATGTTTCCATTTCTTTGCATCTTTCATTCTGTTGTGTTCTAGCCATGTTTTTATGTGACCTAAATGTGACCCAAACAAATGTACATATGTGAAGTGTAGAAGATGCTTACAGGTCTGGAAATACATGTGACCGTGGGGGGGGGTTTATTTGAGAATATTGGGCATTTTCTGAGTATAAAGATGACGTGAGTACTGTGTATAACCTAATTTGGTCTGCCATGATTATGTTTGGTGGATGGCATCAGGATATCACACTTTTTTTTTATTGCCTGTTAATGTTGGGATGGACAGACAGATTTTCTGATGCCAGTTTGAAGACGAACAGCTGGTCAGACAGTTCAATTTCAAATATGAAATTTCAGCCACGTGATTAGACTGTAGCCTATTGGTCTGCAGGTACCTTTTACTGTGGCATTACTGTTGATATCCACCCAGCTGCATGACTGACAGCCGGCTCTGCCTATCTAGAGGCAGAGCTAGCTGTACCTGTCCGGGGATCCGTGACTTGACAGTCTCTGCAGGGGGATGATCGAGAAGCGAGCGATGTTATGTGTTCGCTCACTTCCCGATCTATTGAGCCGACGTGCGACAGTTTCATTGTCGCATGTATGCTCGAACTATGAGGATGAGTGATTTTCACTCACCTTAACGCTGTCCTTTTTAAGTAAGTTCCTTTCCCTTGTATCCTAGAAGAAGGTAGAAACAAGCACCTAAACCTTGCAGTGTGGTTGGAGCCCGACTGCAATGGGATTTTTTTCCTTTTCACCAGAGTTCAGTTTAGTTGAACACCGTAAAACTGCAGTTGTACGTCTCTGTGAGCGGTGTGCTGCATAGCGTAAATGTTTAGATACATTTCACATGCATTGACATTCATCTCTATGGAAGCTGCATTTTGATGGAAAGTACTTTAACCACTTTAGGTTTTTTTAAGACCAAAATCATATTTGTCTGGTAAATTTAGTTTTTGCTCTTGGATTTCCATGACGTTCAGAAAATAGCTTCATAATCGTAACGTGCAGCATGACCTCTTAAACCCAAAACGCCAAGTCAGAGGTGTGAATGTGGCCTTAGGTGAGATTAAACTAGTGGTAAAGGAGGAGTATAGCTGAGAAGAATGTAGCAACTTACTGTTCAGGCAACCTCTGTGATTTGGTGTGGCTTTTTTTAATATCAAAACACACCTTACATGGGGAGTCCATGTTAACTGAATCTAAAACACTCTTCACCCACAGAGGTGTGCGTGTAACTTTGTGTCAATCGGTGGGTACAGCGCCCACCTTTGTTTAATTTGTAGGATATGTTGTAAACATATAAACACATCAGTTGTGGTTCAACCAAGCAGGAGTCATTAAATGAATGGCACACAACTAATGAGAACAGACTACACATTATTTTACCTCCTAAGAAAGATAAATCCTAGCATAAGGTGAAAATATTGATATGGAAGTGCAAGCACAGGGACCGAGAATTGCAGGTTGGAATAGGCACTGTTTTGACTTTGCTTGATGTCTTGTTGATTTTGTAATTTTTTTCCCCCCATAGGTTGCCAGAGAAACACCTCTAGATGTTGTAAGTAAACTCATTCCCAAGACCACAGGGATGAACTTTAATACTACATTGTATACATGAACTTGTGAAGACATTGCACTTAACTGTAAATGATGTATTGGTTTTGTATTACAGAAGTTTTAATTTGTTTTTTGAAAAGTGGATCTTCTAGTTGTCACTGTCCTGTTTTAGGGACTATTCACACTATGTCCAGACCAGAGCATTTTTGTCCGGTCCATTCCCGTGGTAAAAGTGAGGCTAGTTCACACCACTGGTTTAGTTCCAGAACGTTTAAAAAAATAAATAAAACATTGCATGT